ATCTTAAGTTTCATATAAATCCGTTCAGTCGTTTAGGCGTGAAAGAGCCACAAACATACATACATACATCCATCGTCACAAACTTTCACATTTATATTGGTATAGATAGATGTACTGTTAGAATGTCGGAAATCAACTCGGATATCATCTTATTTTGAGAATCAAACATTACAAGCACTTGATAATCTACAAATTCTGCAAATTTTAATGATTTATAAAGCTTAAATGGATCACTGCTGACATAGGTACTCTCCTGTTGATTTGCTTCCAAAAACATCCTTTGACTACTACAGAATTATTTACAATAACAAAAAAGTATCTTCACCTAATTTGCGGTACCTGAAAATAACGTGGATGAAGTCTTAATTGTTAGTGAAAATTATTGAGAAACTCGAGTAGCTAATCTAGAATTCGACGATTCGTAACAATGGAAGCGGGCCAACAAAATACTGACCAATGGAATAGCAAGCTAAGTTTACAACTCTCAACTAGGTCAGCAAAGTTTTTCCCTTACGATCGACTTCATAAACAATTTTGATGGACCTGAATATTAAAGGATACTTAGATGTGATATATATACTTTCGGTTGACGTAACACTCAAAAAAGAGTGAAACGTTCAAATCAAGGATACAGATACCCCAAAAAATTGTTCCTATTTTCCTATGGCCTATTCTGTATTTCTGATTAATGATTAGGAAGCAAAAAAATATAAGAATTCATTTTATGTGGTAATATAGACATTATATTTTCAAAAAAAAAAGGTTGGTTGGGTAACGCAGGATCAATTTTTTCCTTAAAATAACATTTGTTTTCTTTCCGACGTTTCGAATTTGATTAAATTCTTCTTCAGGGCTCTGTAGCAATGAATTTTCATAAACATACCTTCCACAAAACTTATACGATTATAATCGTTTCAATTTCACAAAAAATAATGAGTTCTTCTCTAAATTACTCACCAAAACGTAGATTTTACGTGTTGAAAACATTACTATTTTAAAAACCGTCAAACATATCAGATACATATTTAAAAAAATAAAAACATTGCAAAACAACCAAAATTTCCAAGACAACACCAACACAAAACGACATGAAACAAACGAATGGCTTAATCTGTAATTCTGATAAGATGGTGTCTGTTTTTTAATCAATGCCAATAAAAAAAGAATGAAAAATGGTAAATTATTCCGGTATTTTACTTATCAAACTGAAATATGCAATATTAAGGCAATCGACTATCGCATTTGAGGATATGTATCATTTCGCTCAAAAGTCTTTTGGATAAATATGGTTGAACATTTAGAATAGTTGTATGTTCATAATCAAACATGTGCCCATATTCTTTCTCATGTTCAACGAGAGCTGTGGGATTTTTTATTTCAGTTTCTTATTAGAGTCTCTCATGTGTTACGAAACTCGTGTTTTAAGATACCGTCCGGTCCAACATAGCATTTGTGACAGCTTCCACAGTTCAATTTGTACATTATATTGGATTGTATTTCTTGTGGTGTTTTTGATTTTTGTTTTGAAAAAAAAAATGCTTTCCAAGTGAACATTCATTTGAAAAGGCCACTTTAATTCGTTCGGTACTGAGTAGCATTCCAAGTTTATCAGATAAATTTTCCTACAAATGGAATTTTGTGATATTTGAGTTTCACCCCTGTAGTTTGGAAGAAGAAAATTATTTCATTAATTATTTTTCTAATGAGGGCTCTAGAAATATTCAACTTGGAGTTCCTCCGGGCTTTCAGCATCTGCAGCAAGTGTTGTGTCGTCTGCATATAAAATTATTCGGTTTGTATTCACATGTTTTAGCATATCATTGATGAAAAGTAGGAACATCAGAGGTCCCAAAATGTATCCCTGAGGGACTCCATATTCATTACTGTATGATTGTGATTGGCAATCATCATATTTCACGCACATCTTTCTGAGAGTCAAATATGACTCCAGCCATGAAAGTACATTTCCTCTAAATCCTAGCGAGAATAACTTACTCAGGATTATATCATGATTGATGATATCAAGTGCCTTGGATAGGTCGAAAAAAAGAGCACCCACATACTTTTTCTTATCAAGGGCATCATAGACATAATCACAAAACTCGTTTAAAGCACTTTCGGTCGACTTACCCGGCCAAAAACCGTGTTGAAACCTGGTTATTATATTAAACTTGTCAAGAAAATTAAACATCTTATTATACACACATTTCTCGAACACCTTACACAATACCGTGGGTGGTGTTATGGGTCGGTAGTTTTCCATGATGCTGGGGTCTCCATTTTTTAAAATTGGTGAGAGGAGACCAATCTTCAGTTTATCAGGGAACTCACCGAGTTCGATAGAGCGATTAATTAAATTTTGTTGTTGTTTTAAAATTTCATGATTTGTATTTTGGAAATATGTCACTTTCACATATGAAAAAAAAGATTTCATGTAAGTGAAATTTCATATAACTCCAAGAAAAATCGTCACATTGTAATTCAATTGTAATAATTCTCTGAGATAGTTATTAAACAGTAATATTTATTTCAATTCGTATATGATCTTTGATTGTGACTAATTTCAACTGATTTTAAGTGCTCGGGCATTTAGCCAATCCTGCCACCCTACAGTTACGTCACTGATTGTTATATGAAAATCCTGAAAGTTCTAATTGCCCCTTGAAAATCGTATATCTAGAAAATGTAATTGCATTGCTTCAATAAAACGGTTTTTTTCAATTTTCCTCGAATATTATTTCTGGGCGTGATGTAGAACGTAATCGCAGGTAATCCACTCAAACAAGTTATCGATTTGTCCTGTCACGCACAGTTTCCTCAGAAAATACATTATTGGGAAACATAATATATTCAACATCAAGATAATCATCAATGAATTTACATGTTTACCAAATCAATCACAATCACCAGAACATTCACAAAGAATAACTAATTGTAGTGTACCTAGTTGGTTTGATATAAAGCCTCATACAGATTAACTTACCGAAATTTCAACTGAAATTCTCTCTCTGTTTAAAATCTGTTTTTCCGTTAATCAGCTGTCGTCCCCATAAGAACGACAACTCTCAGAAGTTGAGAAACTTGTGCGAGCTAAGGACTAACGAGGTCTTACCTTTTAACGTGTGATTCCTAAATTAGTTTGATACTTCATGAAAAACTTGTCTGGGATTGAAAGTTTTGTTGCAAATGAATGCTAGTTGATAATCAGTAGTAAAATAACCCAAATATGCCAATGATTTGAATAAACTACCATTTTCAAAAGTAAGAGTTTAATTTTGTAGTAGGTAATAGAAAAATAAAATTTTGAGCCGTCACGGGACTCCTGGCAGATGTGAAACATCAATATTATTTCGTATGATTTTGATTTTCTTTAATCACTTTCACTTTCTAAATTATCACTGTCAGACTTATTTTACTTTTAACTATTTTCAAAAAAAATGTAGTTTAACACAAGTAATCTATACTGTAGTAAATACAACTGTAGGTATTCGAGCTCAGTGTGACGAGAGAGTTAGCGTAGTGCTGAACTAGTGAGAAGAGAATCGCACAGTCGCTTGCGCATAGCGACACGTCTCCACGTTATGCGTCGCCACGGCATCAATCAGTTTTACTTGCGACTATAGATGTTTGACATCAATGATGTTGAACCCTCTTTTGAAACAAAACCACGAAATATACTTCAGACACTGACATGGTTTCATGTTTAAGGAAGTGAAAATGTAAAGCTAGTTTCTGAGTCTCTGCGGTTGGTTATTTGTAGCATAATATAAAGCATTTCTGCATTGTCTTTCCGGTTGCGATACAACATCTGGATTTGCCGGAAAAGAAAAGAAAAGTATCGTAAATGTAAATTCATTATCAGGCGCTAAACATTTGTCAAGGCCAATGTTTTTTATAAGAAAGATGCAAGTAAAGCAGATAAAAAAATGGATTAACATTAATCAAATCCATTTATAAATGAAAAATGAAAGAGTAACACTGAATCAATTAATATTTCAAAAGGGTAATGAACTGACAGCAACAGATTGGGGCTGGAAGCAAAATCAACATGGCATTATGCCCAAATTTACAGATAAGGAATTAATTCCGAAAGTATTGCTTTATTGCTTGAAACTATTTTTTGCAGCTGTGAAACTGGATGTAACAGTTTAAAATGTGGCTGTCGAAAACATGGTTTGAAATGCATAAAATTATGCTCAAATTGTCATGGTTCTGAAAATTGCTCACATATGGAAGAAAAACCTAAGTGGAAGTGGATTCAGATGAAATTGTGGATGAAGAACCAATGTAGACTGGAAATAATATTGGAGACAAAGAAGGTGATGGTCTTGAAGATTTTGAAGATCAACTAGAATTGGAAAGGTCGAATCTAACGATGAAGAAATGCCATCAAACAGACAAAAACTAATGGATAAGTGATTAAAATTCAAGATAAGGTATTTACAACTGACAATATTAACGTTTTTAAACATATTATAATTAATAACGTTATCAGAATGAAGTAAATTCAATAGTACGATTTACATGTATTTTTATATTTTATGAGATTTTCTGTGACATGAATGTAATTAGGATTCAATGAATGAACTTTTCAACTGAATAAAATTGCAGCAATCACATTTTTTTGATGAAATTGTACATAATGATTTTAAAAAACTCGAATTCGAGTTGTTTTCGATTTTTTGCATTTTCTGAGAACATTTACTATGGTAATATATATTTTTTTACATCATTAGAAAGTAGAGATTTCAACGAACAAAAAGAACATAGACTTTTTGAAAAAAGCTGATGTTTTGATGCGAGAATTTTCGATTGAAAATTAGGGTGTTTTTTTGATATTAAGTCAAAATAAGCTGGAAAATAAATTACAGTGCATTTGGGACATCAATCGAAAGTAAACAAAAGCAGTCAATAACAAACTTACCAACCATTTCGAATAACTAAGTTATTTACCGTTTCAAACCTATCAATCTGGAATGTTTCAACTTAAATAAGAAACATTTTTTTAACTATTATGGTCCTTTTTAATAGCTTCGAGTAGTCTATTGTAAACCCTCTGTGTCATAACTCTGTTCTTCAGCATCAGTTTCTGCTTCAATTTGCTCGGCACAACCATTATTGTAGTCGTAGTGTTTCCAATGAATAACACCAAAAACAGATAAGCAGTTGCGGATAACTGCCATGTAGACTGGGGGTGGTAGCTCAAATTGAATAGAACAAAGGCGTTTGTTAACTGGAAAATATATCCAATAAAAAGAAAGGGTAGAAGGAATGTTAGACCTCTCCACATCCAATATTGAAAACCCTCTATTGTAATATCCATATTTTGCATTTCTCCAAGGGCTTTGAGTCTGTATAGTGCCCCTCGTTGGTATTTGAATTGTAGATATTGTATGAAAGAGTTATAAATATTGTACCAGATAAACTGATTTCGAAACTCATTCCAAGTTTCATTTTCAGACCACACCAGCATAATACCGGAGCCCAATAAGGATAAAATGTGATGTATTCTCCACCATACTTTAATTCTGGAACCGTTTACTTTCAAAATACTCTCGCGTATCGAAATTGCACAGTAGTACCATATTAGAAACCCCAGATAAAACTGTTCTAATGGTTTCGAGTTAACATTCAGAAGAACTAAACACAAAACGAAAGCTACAAAGTGACAGGTGAGTTTAAATTTTTCATATTCGTCCTTATATTTGAATTTATCGTCTTTATTGAGAAATGAAACATCGATGCCACCTAGTATAAATTTCAGAAATCCTTCACTTTGTCTGGGTAAAGTTTTTTCGATCTCCTGCAGTTCTGTTTCCCTCTTCATCATTCCCTCTTTCAGTTTTTGAATTGATTCATCCGTTTTCGTGTCTTTTAAGTTTTGTGTTAAAGTTTTCATTCTATATCTCTGATGTCCAATATATTTCAAACATGCTTGCTGAATAGAAGTTATTTCTTGTAGTTTTTTTATATATTCTTCGTTTACACTTTCTAATTTATTGTACTCTTGAGTTAATTNTAACATGTAAATAATAAAACACTATTAAAACTGTTGAATGTGACAACTCAAGCCAAACTTCTGTATACGATCCGTAGTTTTGACAGTAGTGTATGTCAATCCACTTGTTTGACGAATACGTCTGCAATTTTGTATATGTATTCCTTTTATATATTAGTTGTTAATTCATTTTGAAGCCGTCAAATGAAGTTCGTGGAATACGTAGTTTTTTTTCACGTAACCTTTCCTGCAATTCAGCGTCATCTCTAATGGGTTACGGGCCCAGGTTTCTGAGTGTTACTGAAAAGATTCGAGAAGCATTTGAACCTTGATTTACTGACTGACGCAAAAATAAATGTATCCAACATTTCGAGGATGGAAACGCTAACTAAAGGAAATTATGATAAATGGAAAATGCATTACTAATGAAAAATGATGCTTGGGTCTACGTCAACGGTAAATGTAAGAAGCCGAAGTTGATACCCGCGGATGCTGAATCTGAGAAGCTAGTGAATAATTGGGCCAAGTATGATAGTAGGGCCAAGTCCGACATAATTTTGACTATAAGTTCCTCTGAACTGAAACAAGTGAAAGGTTGTACGAGTTACGGTTGAAACTACAAGGTATTTATCTGTCCAAAGGTCCTGCTAGAAAGGCCTTACTCCTTAAACAATTGACACTTCAACGCATGGACGATGGAAGTGGCGTGCATCAATAAATTCTTCGATTCTGTTTACAAGCTGTATGAATTGGACACAATATGAATCTCTAGGGAATGCCAGCGTTGATGGTAAAAATATTCGAGAGATGTCAATCGATGGCCACTAGCAGGGAACGTTCTTCCAGGAAGCTGAAGAGCCTCACACATCGAAGTTTGGCCAGCAAATTCTCATGCCACACATGGTCAAAGGCCTTAGAAATATCAAGCGCAAAATCTCTTGACTCTCCATGTTCCTGGATTGTGTTATTCCAAATATGAGTGACATACGATAGAAGGTCTCCTGTTGGCCTCTGTTTTCGAAAGCCATATTGATGATCGCTCAAGATGTTTTCAAGCCTCCCAAATATTTAAGAATATGGTGGTTTACGGCTTTCTCCACGATTTTTGATATCACTGATAGCAAAGCGACTGGTCTACAGTTATTTGGAAGATTTTTCTTGCCCTTTTTGGGAATAGGCTAAACGCGAGCTATCTTCCGACAAGAAGAAAAACCCCTTTCTTGTAAGACAAGTTGAAAGTCTTCAAAATACTGGTGCTAGTTCATTTACGCACTTTTTAAGAACGATGACGGGCGCTTCATCGTGCCATAGATGTAGGTCTAGTGTACCAACCCGATGACAGTGGTATGAAGGGATATGTTGACGCCAATTGGGCTAATTCTACCGTTGACCGTCGCTCATATAATGGATACGTTTTTTTTGCTGAATGGATGTCCAATATCATGGGATGCTAAGAAGCAAAAAACTGTCGCTTTGTCATCTACGGAGGCGAAAAATATGGGACTATGGGAATATGGCACCGATGCTGGAAAAGAAGTAATCCATTTGAAACGATTTCTACATGATTTGGGGTTTAACAAACTCTCAGAAATGTACTAAGATTATGGGTTTGAATTCATTTCCGATTAACATTGAGAACAACTACGTCTCGAGGGGAAGTGTTGAATGTGGCAACTACTGCCAACATCCTGTATACATTTTTGTATCTGTATTCCTTTTATATATTAGTTGTTAATTCATTTTGAAGCCGTCAAGTAAATTCCTGGAATACGTAGTTTTTCTTTCCACGTAACCTTCCCTGCAACTCAGCGCCACCTCTAATAAAAACAAACTCCAAATGTGATAACACATTGAAGCGAAGTAACGAAACCCCACTCTGAAGATAGTACAACCACCAAAGAAGTCACTCATCTTGACAGCTTACCAAATATCAACCTTTCATGTTATTGACAAACTTGTCAACCAGATTCAATAACGTTTCAATGTAGAATTAAGATTTAAAATACAGTTTTTACCATAGTCATGCACAAGCAATCCATGTTGCTTCTGTGATTCAACTGTATGTGTGAAATTTGTTCTTTAGTGTATTTTATGATGAATAATAATAATTATTATACCGAAATATGTGCTGGTCAGTCCCTATCCCCCGAAGCCCCGACACATTCGGGATGGCGTGCCATCATTATCAATCAACGACCACTCCCCACACCCTGGGGCAAGTGAATATTGGGTCCGAGAATTATGTGCCCTGAGCAAGCGCAGTGAGCCAAGAATGACATCCTTCTGCATCTGTGCGGTAAAGATTTCTGCCTTAGTGCGGCAGGCCGGTATGATTTTGAGATTCGAGAGTAGAAAGAGCATCATTCCACCAAGGAAAACAATAATCAGGATAACTTTGAAAATGGAACTCTCTCTCAAAAAATTCAAGAAACATTTGAAAACATTCTTAACAGAAATAGAAAGAAGGGAAATACGTAAAATTATAGAAGAGTAAAAAAGAAAATGTTTTCTTCCCACTCTTCAAAAATTTGATCACACATTTTATATCACCTTTGTTATCACAGCTCTGACTTAGGTACTGTCGTGGATGGACAAGTTCGTTATATTTAATGTAGTTATCGTCGGGGGAAAGATTAGATATTGAACAAAGACAAGTGTATAGGTACAGACTTCAAACTTTGGACTATATCATTTTCAATAGATTATTCATTAGGAAAAATTAATTGATAGCCAGTCGGCCATAATACGTGTAGTTATATGTCAATCACTCTATTAATTTTCTTGAGCGTCATATATTTGAAGAAATGAATTTTATATTTCTGAATAACTCTAGAATTCAATTTGTAGCACTTGAAAATTTTAAAATATACCTAATTCTATAACTACGTAAAAATATGGAAAAACAAAAATATGAAAAATGAAGAAAAAGCGAAAGATTATGATCTAAATGTAAATTTCTACATTATCAAGAATACAATATGACTAGAAGAGCCTGTATCATATGAGATTTGTTTTTAATTTGATTGGTTTCAATCGTATCTCGATTCTGACATCTGTTCCGAATGAAATTTCAATTTTTATTGAAACAAAGAAAGGTTTTGACTTTCTACTCCTCCAACTTCATACAAAAAAAGTGGGAATCATTCAAGGAAAGTAAATGTTTCAAGAGGACTTTTCTTTCAGTTTTTTCTGAGAGTTACTTCTTTGCATAATCTACATTTAAAGATGGATGCATACATGGAAGATTCTCACATTTTCTTGTATATAAAGATGGAGAAGTAGAAAGCCAAAATCTTTCTTCCCAAAAATCAATCTCTTCAAAAAATATACCCCTTCCAATTTTTCTGAATTCATTTTTCAGCCGTTGCTCATTTTTGGCATATTGCACCAGTGTTGCAAAATAAGACTCACTTCTCATTTTTAACAGTACTTTATTCTAGACACATTTTCATATGAGGTTGTGTACAATATCCAATGTTATTGAAATTTTGTCACACGTCTTACAAAATTAATTTGTTTTTGGTCCTGTGAAATGTTACTAAAATTAGATAGGCTTCGTGGAGAACTTAAGAAAACATTCTTCATAAAAATTGAGTGAAATCTTTTTACAAACTCAAATTGTTAATTCCTCTCAATGATGAAAACAAAAGGAAGATATTTAACTTTTGCCTTGCACGACGAGGTCACTTTTATATCAAACGGCGATATTCGCTCTCAAAATTGTAGATTGTAGTCAAAAATTCAAATTTTATAACAGAATGCAAGGACTTGCATTCCTTTGAAACAAATATGAAGTAAATGAAATTCTGAAGAATATCGTTTTATTAACGTCGAGATTTCATGAATTGTGAATAATATACCTACTGGTATATCTCAAAGTAATTCGACATAATTCGAGCCATGTTTAGCCGGTTCAGTAACCAAATTCAGCCACATTGGCTTTTTTTATGGAGACACCTGAAAAAAAAAATTTGAATTTTGAGTTTTTATTATTTTGAATTTAATATTCGAATATCAAAAATGATTTGTTATAAGAATTGAAAGGAAATTGTTTTTTATAGAGGTGTAATTTTAAATGCCGTTTACCATATTTTTTCAATAAAAAATTAAATTGATAACTTCAAAAATCAATCAGCATAACATGTAAATAATAAAACACTATTAAAACTGTTGAATGTGACAACTCAAGCCAAACTTCTGTATACGATCCGTAGTTTTGACAGT